AGATGCTAAACGGAATGGTTTCTACATCAACAGTACTAACTTGAAAGGCTCAGTCATAGTTTTTTTAAAAGTCTTAAAATACTGCTGCACTGAATTTTTAGGCATATTTGATTTAAATATCACTGTTTAGATCTTAGATTCCTTAAAGTTTAAGGCCAATCCTACAAAGTATTTTTTACTCCAAATTAAAATTAATTATTACTTTCATGTTTTACTAGAAAGAAAAAAAAAAAAAAGAGATTGAAAAGTTAGCCATTTTCTGTGGGTAGAAAATGGGGTCACTTTTATAAATATTGAGATTGGGCTAGTGGAAATTTCAAGGAAGTTTGCCATATGAAGGAAAGTAAAATCTTTCAAATGCAGTCAATCAAAAATGTCTGCACAAATATGACTCCCCAGAAAGGCATTTATCCTAATTAATAAGATAAACCAATAGTTAGTCACCTACTTAAATGACAGCTGCAAATCAAAATGGGCTTTGCCAATTCTCTCATGGGGTCAGATATGACCACCCATGAAAACTTCACTCTTTCATCTCCTTTACAAGTGGAAGGACTGACAGACGGCCACGGCTGTTCCAGCCAACCATAGCATCCTCAATCCTCGCTGCCAGGACCGGCTGCCATCCGCTGCCCAACACGATCAGGCAGTAAGTAGGTCTATAAACCTATTAAAACAGCATAAATGTTATAACTTGTAATCTATTAAAATCAAAATAAACAGGAAAGGAGGTCTGAGAGCCAGTTTCTTCAGAGCAAAATGTAATGCTAATTATGAGGTTTTCAAATATTCCAGCTTTTTTTTGGGAGTGGGCAAGACTTAGAGTTGAGCCATTAAAAAGCCAGTTGGTAGTATTAAACTCTTGCTTTAGGATTTATAAGAAAGCCAAAAATTCACTCCAGGCTGAAATTTACTATCCCAGGCCTGGAATCATTTTTAACAAAAAAAAAAAAAAAAAAAAAAAAAAAAAAGAAGAGTAGTCATAAATATAGAAGAAAAAACTAAACAAACACAAAACAGTGGTTTCAGATGATTTTTGGCACTCCTTCAATGTAAAAGTGGCTTTATTTTTTTAATATATTTTTTTTTAAAGTCTGAGATTCATTACTAGAAATTATTTTTGTAACTAAAATTGGGACCAGGTTATTTTAATAATGAATTACCAATAAGTTACTATCACTGAATCTTTTCTAAAATTTTTCAGTATAAAGAGATATCATAGTTTTTCAAAGGAATGTCAATGCTCTGACTTACACTCAAAAGCCAGGAAGTTAGGGGTGGAAATTTCATCTGCGAGCCACACAGATGTATGAAAACATTTAAAAAATTAACAGCGTATGTTAAAGATGCTATGTCAGCCTCATTTTCATCCATAACTAGACTTCATTAGTTTTGTGGGTTTAAAATTGACATTTAAAAATAAAGGCAACATAAGTTTTTGTGCCTTAATTGAGCACTCCTTAATTGAAGAGCTATTTCGATGTTTGCAGACTGTTAACGTCTTTCCAAAATAAGCTGTGTGCTGGTGCTACTTAGCTGTACTTCCCTATCACCCTGAGGAGTCTGTGTTGCTGATGGAAGCCATTTCTTTTGCTAAATCCCACCTGTGAACTCTAACAAGGGCATTTAAGCATACTAAACAAAGTCTCGTGGGAGACACTATTGTTAAAACAAAACTGGAACAAATTTTTAAAGTGGACTTTCTACAATCGTTAGAGGATGCAGGTCTTAAGAAGAGAAAAGTTGTTACAGGAGAGGGAACAAAAAGCTAAATGTAAGCAGAGAGACCATGCCAGTCACCCCTGAGGGAAGAGAGAGGAGGTATAGAAAATTAACTGCTGCATTTCTACTTCCCACCAAAACCACAAACGGGCCGTTTCAGGGGACTAACACATACAGAGTCTGCAGATAAATACATGTCTACCTCATTACCTGAGAAGAGCCTTAAAGAGCATACTTCTTTGCTGAATATTTCTGCTTCTAGATGAATAATCTCATTTACGCACAAGAAGGTGCTATACATACACATGTAACATTTGCAGCATGTATGTGCGTTAGCTTGGAAGCTGCTCAGCTCTGTCTGCAAATTTGGCCCGTAGTCTTTTGGCACGGATTTTTACTGCAAAACTTAACAAACATTCACTGCAGCCAAACCACCTTGAACTGTTTCTTATCAAATTTCACAGGCTATGTGGGTTTGAGTCTGGTCAATACATGGATGAGACATCATTATATGAAATTACGCTTTGCTGAAAAATGACAACAGTAGCTTAACAGCATCAGGAAAAGGCTGGACTTAGCTGTAAGGACATGAACAAAGGTGAGGCTGCTGCCTTTACCCAGGATAAGACTACCACACCCAGCAAAGCCAAGATGAGCAGCTTTCCTAAAGGGAGGGCGTTACATGGAAAATGGGACTCGAAAGATTAGTGAGGTTCCTGCTTTCTACCTGGAACTAGAATGGCCAACAGCCATACAGGACAGACACTCTCTGCTGAAGGACATGCATAGTTGTACGCCAACTCACCAGCCTGTAAGGCGTGCTTTCTCTCTGGCATCTAAAGCGGCACCATCTTGGAGTTACACCTTGTGCAGTAACAGTAATGCCAGGCACGCTGCTGAAGTCTGGCACCCTAACAAAGTATCGAACAACCGAGATGGGACATAATAAAAGAGAAACTGCCATTCTAAATTCTTCATTAATAGATTGGGTCAAAGCAACCCCATTCTATGTTTGACAAAAGTATAGGGCTAAAGGAGGATGAGAACAACAATTATATTTGGATTATAACAAATACTTAACATCAACCCAGATGATGCCCTCTCAGGCAACCTAAGGAAAAACATCCTCTTTGTTTTCTTAAGTTACCACAACATACATGTTTACCTGTATTCAAAGACGAGTTAACAAGAGTTTGCTCGGAGTACAAATCAAACAGGATCGCACAGAAGGAATACAGCAATATTCTTCATTCTCACTGGATGCAGTGGAGGGTATGCCTGTAGGGCTTGAAAGTTGTGTAGGCACTGTGAGGCTGAAATGCAGGACGATTTACATATTCTAAATTGTTTCCCTGAAACAGATCTTACCCAACTATCCTTGGTTTTATCACCTTGCTAGGCAATTGCCGTATATACTTGCACTTGAGGGAAAGAGACTCACATCAGCCAATAACAGACATGTGAGCTGCCTATCTAAAATTAGTCTGCTGGCCCTCCTGGGTTCCCTCTGCAGGCACTGCACGGACAGGAAGAGAAAGTCAGCCACAGCATGACTGTGAGAACGTCATCTATGTAAGTTAGAAACATCATGGAGAACAAAATCCTATGCCAAGCAAACACTGGAAAAAATTCTGTAGTTATCAGAAAAATCTCAATGCTGATTTTAGGTCCAGAAAAACTTCTAAGATGGCAAAAATGGAAATTCTGGGCTGAGGATGTTGAAATGCAACTCACTTGATAGTTAATTAAAAAAAAAAAAAAAAATGCAAGAAAGACTATATGGGCTTTGCTACCAGGCTATTACAAACCCTAAACTTGGAACAGTGCTTGAACGAGGAACTTGGAACAGAGGGTGCAGAAAGTGGAAGGTAGTATTATTTATAACCTGGCAGGCAGGACTCCCAGAAACTTGGTTAGCCAAAACAAGCTGATTCGCCTTAACTACAGGTAAAACAACATTCTGAGTAACTTCAAAAGTTTGAAAAACATATAAATAATAAAAATAAAAGTATTTCAGTAGACAGATGCTGACTTGTTTTCTTTAATATTTGATGAAACGTGTTTCAAAGAGCGCACTGCTAACCAATGTTCCTGACAGATGTGCAAAGTTATACTACCTGACCACATCATGAATTAGCCCTCTCAGGAGGAGCTGTACAAAAAGTAAAACAAAAGAAAGCAGAAATTCCTTGACATCTGTAGGATGTCAAGGAAATGAATCAGTTTGTTTCAAATAGGAGATAATTAAGAAAATCTTCTAAAATCTTCTGAATTACATTAGGACTTTTATCATTTAGCTGTTCTTAACATGCTTCCCTTTTTCATATCCAGGGACACACTGAACAACCAATTCATTTCAGAACTTCCAGACAGTGTTGCCAGGACTGCTACAACTTTTCCGTTTAATCATTAATACTTAAATTGCTTATATCAAACAGATGGCGTAACAGTTTATCAAGGCAGGGATGCTCATGTTGTTTCCTATTAAGAATATGTTGAGCCTACTTATTACAGAACATAATAGATGTATTATATGCATTTAGCTTTTCTGAAGGAAATACTGGTATTTAAACTGCAGTGTATCAGAATTACCTGACAAGATCTCTGTGTAATGTAAACCAGACTGACTTTGGTCAAGAGTTCTGGTTCAGCACAGCAAGCAATTTTCAGTTTCTCTAATCAGTGCAAAAAAATTCCTATGAATTTTATACCTGGGAAAACGACTTGAATACTTGCTTTTGAAGAAAACACAGATCACTTTTTTCAAACATTACTTTTTTTGAACATAGTTTCCTAATGAAAGTTATGTCTTCATGATGACAGCAGCTGAACATTCCTCTCTGTCCACTTATTTATCTATTAATTCAAATCCCCCTCAAAAAAAAAAAAAAAAAAAAAAAAAGGGGGGCAGGGCAAGATCCTAACCACTTTTACTTGTATCTTAAACTGGCCCTGTACCACATGCAGAGCTTTCCTACTGATACATCAGGGGTCTTCTGCACACTTGGTATTTCTGGTAAGGTTAGTTTCTTCATGTAATAATTTCAGATGCAATTTTTAAAGTTAGTGTCCTTCTCTGCTTTAGTAAAGAGTTTGGAAACAAATGCCCAAACATGCTTTAGGGACTGCAAGCCAAATCCAAATAAAAGAGCCCGAAGCTCTTCTGTCTTATTTTTAGGCATTCTTCTTCCCAATGCCTCAGTACATCTACTGTTCTCCAAATGTCATGTAGCAAAATTGCTAGTTTATTTGGGATAAACCGAACAGTAGGTACTTACCTGTAGGAGTACTACTGCGAAATGAAGAGGAGGGAGTGATTGGAGGGGTGACTGGAGGAGTAAGGCTTCCACTGCTGTGGCGAGGCGGAGTAGATACATTCCCACGGGACACTGTGCTTGACAAAGTCAAAGAAAGTTTCGGCTGAATCTTCTTCTTCAAAGACTCCTGCTCACGTCGAGCTGCATCAGTCATAAATCTAGAACAAGCACAATCAGGAGGATGAGAGGCTTGAGACACTGTCTGCAAGCAAGCTTTAGGTAAAGATAAAGTAAGTATTTTTCACCCTCGGTGACCAAATGGAGCTTCAAACTCAGCCATAACAAGTTCCCCCGCAACACACAGATTTGAAGAATACAAACTTCTCCATCAACAGCTTTATTCCAGTGTCTAAGATCTGGGTCATTTGCTCCTGATTTCAGTAGAACTTACATTAGACATTTGCATCATGTGCAAACACACAAGTTTTTTTTTAAACTCCAACCAGAGATCCACATTGCACACAATATTATAATAATTATACTCAATCCCTTACAATAACTGCACTCAATCCTTCTGTGAAAAAGTAGCTGAGTAGCTATAATGGAGGAAAATGTTAGGGGCAAATGTATTGAATCTGAAGGTCAAAGGGATGGTATGAATTACATTGTGTAGATACATCATTTCCAATTTAGGATAATCACATCCTTTTTCTAAAGGTTTTAGACAATGTTTCCTGACATAAAAGATGTCCAATTAAACTGCAATTCCTCAAAATGGAGTTCCTAGCTCTTGAAAACCAAATGAGGTGTCTTTGTAGAGCTTTGGTACATGCTGCTGAAGGCCCAATGCAACTCAAGGTTCATCTCTGTGGGATGCTGAGAGGGAATTCCACCAGCACGATGCAAAGTGTACAGTAATTCCAGCAGTTCAATTTTTTGCATGAGATCTCTCACGTGGAATAAAAATATCTTTTTTTACTTTTATTCCGATTCCTTCCAAAAATTAACAACCGAAGTGAAAAAGACCACTTTTATTCCAAGTGCCTACACAGAGTTACACTAGAACACCTGATACTGCATTATGCTGACATTCAAAGAATCACTTCTGGCACCTGTAGTAACCCACATCTGAAAGGATTGGGATCCCCTCACAACAGGATCTCTGCAACTCAGACTTCATGAACTTAGCATTCAAGCAATATTTTAATATCTTGCCTTTCCCCTCTACCGCATAAGGAGCCATCTTGAAGGATTCCTAAGAAGACAGGCACAAGTACGTCACCTTGTCCATACAGTCCTCTGTCCTTCAGGCTAAAGTACAAACTACGCCTGTCAGTGAGTAAAGCAATATGCACTAGCACAAGATGCAGAATAAGAAGTTCAGTTACACCGAGACATTTGTCTGACCAGGTTAGACAAAGTAAACCAGGTTTTAGCTGAGACACAAGCTTTACATGATGAGCTCTTGCAACCTTGGCAAACCGTGAAGGGTGCATTCAGAGAGGTGAGAACGCGGTGCAGCCGGTACGCTGCTCTCGCCTCGGAGCCAGCTGCCACCTAGAAACTCACATCTGCAATCCAGTAAGGAAACAGAATGACAAAAATTACTAGCAATTATTTGTATTGGACTAAGCAGGGGTAACCTGGCTTGCTTTCAACAGTCACACTCCTCAGAGGAGCCTAGGAAAGAGAATGAGGCAGACATGGGGATAGAAGCAGCCACAGAGAACAAGTCTGTGGAAGAAATAATGGAGATACTGAGTTGTTGTGCTGGGTGTAGGTGGCAAGGTTTTGGTAGTGGAGGGGCTTGCAGGGCGAGAAGAGGTCAGGGACTGCTTTGTGCCAGACACAGCTGGTTTCAGCCAGACCCACAACGGACCCACCACTGACACAGCTGAGCCCATCGGTGAAGCTGGTGGCACCTCCATGACAACGTATTTAAGGAGGGGTAGAAAATACTGGAGGGGGAGAGGAGGAGGGAACAGAGGAGGAGGTCAGAGGAGTAGGAGGTGCTGCGTGGTGGAGAGCAGGTGCACCCCCAGAGGCACTGCAGCCCGTGGGTGACCAACACTGGAGCACAAGACAAGAGTGACAAACAAGGGGCGGCAGAGACAAACCGCCGCAACCTGACCCCAACGCCTGCACCACTTAGTGCCTCTCTGAAGGGACTGAGTGTGGCCTGCAGCAGCAGCAGGGGAGGAAAGATGTCTGGTGTGAAGCGAGCCTGGGGGTGAAGGCGAGCCTGGAAAAGGGGGTGGAAAGATGGCTTTTCCCCCCCTAAGTGTTTTAGGGTTTTTCTTTTGTTTCTCAACAACCAATACCCAAATCAGTAATTAAATATTTATGTTAGTTGGCAATAAATTAAGTTAAAGACCCCCCAGGTCAAGTCTGCTTTGCCCATGACAGTACTTGGGAAGTGATTCCCTTTATTTCAGCCCTTGAGTCTTCTCGCTCCTGTTCCTCCTATTTTCTCCCCCATCCCACTGGGGCTGGGGACGTGGGGGTGAGTGAGCAAGCGGCTATGGGGGTGCTTGGCTGCTTGCTGGGGCCAACCCATCACTCTACCAAGTTTCTTGTCATGCTGCAACTGTATTTGCTGTGTGACCAAACTGCCTGTTGTGTTGTAACTTGACATTCCTTAACATATGAGAAGACACGGAAGCAACCCTGACATACATCCAGAATCCAAGAGAGGACTGGGAGATCTGCCTTTGGCTCCCAAGGAAGAGCAGCAGACCCTGAGGAGAGGGAGGCAGAGGGAATGCTGCCACACCAGTCACCTGGCTCACAGTTTGTGTCCTGCCATCGTATGAAGGATCAGGCCACAGGCTGGCTGGACAAACTGATTCTGCAGACCACAGCACCACACCAGTTGCACTGAATGCGGCCATCAGGTCATACAGACTCTCACAGCAATACATAGTATCTGTCACAGCATCTGCAACATGGTGCTGGAGGACAGTCTAGTTTCTTCTCTGGGTCTCAACCAACAGTTTAAATTAATATGAATCACTGTATTTGTTTAGGCTCCATGGAAACCCGAAATTTTGTGACTGCTTGCAAGACATGGGCTGTTTGGATGGAAGATGGGTAGATTCTACTGGCTGTGAGTCCAGACCTGACTGCACTTATGGTGAGACCACTGAGAAACAACAGCTCTTGTGGAACAGTAAGGGGTGCATAGGGAAGGGAGAAAGGAAAAAATGGGGGTTTAGGCATCTGTGTGAAATATGAAAGAAAAATTCGGCCTAGATATAAAACTCCCAGCTCTTTCAAAACAGATCTGTCGCCTCAAAACCACCATGGCGTAAAATTTTAAGTACCACTAGAGCAATAAAAATGTATCCTGTCCATCCATACCATGAAGGCATTAATAAGTGGGTCTTTGCCATGATACATAACGTCAACACCCAATCTGCAGACATTAATATGTATATGACATGGCAGCTTATCTTCTTTAAACAGAGACAATACATCATGTCAAACCCAGATACGGCATTTTTATGAAGTTAATATTTAAAAAGCAGGTATCCATAGTAACAGTTCAGTTTTAAATTTCTCTTCTCTAAACAAGGGTGCAGATATTATTGACAAAATAGTCTCCAAATAGAAGTCTAAATTTAATTAAAGAAAAAAAGAAGTAAAAGGATCTTAATAAAATGGGCATTCAGTATACATTTGCTTTCCTCTAACTAGGAAACGTCTAATTCACTATTTTTGGAATTTGTTCTATGATGTATGCTTGCTTCTGGATGGGAAGCCTTATTTCTTAAGAAAATGTTATGGCAACATTATAAATCCTTGAAAACTTGGAAGATAACCTCAAGCGTGAGATATTAAAAGCAGCAGTATGAACACTGCTATTTAATAAACTCAGCCACAAATAACAATGTTAAAATAATATTGAGGTATAACCAGTCTGGTTGAAGTCCATAAAAATCAGGAAAATCTGATGTTATAGCTGAAACTTCTCCCTGTCCTGTTGACTCGCTCCCATTTGGGCTAAGCACGTTGGGTATATTCCAAAACGTCATTTGTTGTCTACACTGTGAACCTGAGAGAAATGGAAGGCAGAGTATGCTGAGAAGTTGAGTTCCTGATATCTCAACTATGGAATTAAATTTATCAGATCCAAACAGTCCCATACAGGTTTGCTGAAGCACTGGCAGTGTTACGGTTTTGAAAAGGAACTTTTCTAAATGGATTAAAATAAAACATTTTTCAATATTTTAATTAAAATGCAGTATTATACTTGTGCCTAAGTATGGTGGTGTTCTTCAAAGCTTACAATATAAGCATTTTAATGATGGGTATAGAATGACATTTCCAACTAAGGCTTTAATTTTCATGTTGAAAGTACATTACGGTTACAACATCAAGTGCTCAGAAATGAAACATGCTGGAATTAAGGTTGAATACTGGTCTCTAAATTACACGTTGGCATACAATTTTCCCTGCTTCACTTAAGTGCACAAGATGTGTGGGAAACAGAAAATGAATTGTAACTAAAAAAGGCTGCTGTAAGACCACTTAGGTTAAATCCCATCTCCTTGCTTAACAGTCTCTCTCACCATCGTCAGATCCACCTCCTTGCTGAGCAAAGTTACCTCTGCTTTTTTCAACTTTTATTAAGTCCATAACCCTGCCTCTCTAGTTCCACCACTACGCAGATTTTAGTCATCTTCCCTGTTGCACAGGATTGTGTTTGCACCTCATAAGCCTCTCTCTCCAAATCCAATACACCACGTAGGCGCAGTGGAACAAGGAGAATCATTCCGTTCCCAGCCATTCATTGACCCTGTTTTGACAAGCATGGGGTTTGTGTGCTTTCTTGCAGATGGTTCCTAATGCCAGGGAGGAGCCCATTCCTTAGGAAGAAACCTCTTCTAGCCCCATTTTTTTCTTTCCTCGCCCTTTCACCTTCCTAATAATTCAGCTCCCCGCTCCAAAACACGTAGGTGCAGTGATTTCTGAATCAAGTGCTAGCAGCAACTTTAATAAACATGAGCAAAATATAGTATTTCCCCCTCCTCTCATTCCCTGGAATGGTTCAAGTATTTTTATTGAAACTTTCCCAAGAAATTCAGCCTGAAGGAGACACCCAGCATGGAAAATTTCAGCCCAAACAGCTGAATGTTGGCAACATAATAAGCAACTGAAATATTCTTATAATGGAAAGTGTTGCACAACCTTCCATATAGGTGGCAATATAATACAA